GGGGGGGTGTTGTACACCTTTAAACTCTCGACGCCATCGGCGAGGATAGCGAATGCTGCAGGTGAGAGCTTCCAGGGGGCTCCGAGGTCATCCCCTTTTTTCCGATTTTGTCTTCTAAAACGCCATTTCCAGTGTTCCTGACACTTGAAAAGCGTCTGTGAAAGCATGATATAAAATCTGGAGTTTACCTTACTTCTCAACCAGAAAAACACAACTAATAATGCAGTCGTGAAATGTACGTTATCTTTCCTAAAGCCTGGTTCACACTAGCGACAACGACATCGTCACGAACGACAAAAAAAGAACGTTATCTCGACGTAAAAAGGACGTTATGTTTGTAGTGTGAACATGTAGACATAATGACATATTAGCAACATAACAGCATGAACATAACGACATAAAGATAAAACTGATCTTTTCCTCATGTCGTTATGTCGCTAGTGTGAACCAGGCTTAACTTGACAATCAGTCAGTTGGTGGAAGTGAAACAACTTCGTATACAACAATTTTATTCTATAACTTTTATGAAAAGTCGAGGAAATAAAAATACCCCTGAGCATTAAGAAATGTTTAAACTGCAGGAGAGCGAAATAATCTAATTATTTTAGTGCAAATCTACTAGTAGTTTACTTTATCAAATCCTCTTACAGACACTTTTCTTGGCAATTTGCACGGCTCCGTAGAAGATCACAGTTATGCGAGATGAACTTGTAATTATATTACTACAAGCGAAGTAACTTTTGGTTGGTCTAGAGAACGCCTCGGGTGTAGGTGAAACACGTAAACAGGTATTTGAAATTGTTTATTAGAAGTAGATTATGAATCGAGAACATATGCATGTAGAAAAACGTTTGTAGCTTCACGTAGAGGAAAACAACTACTACAGTACAACAAAGTTAACGTAATTTGGAAATATATAATTTTAACGTACACTGACAAAGATAATAGAAGCAAAACGGTATATACTTCTTTTATACCCTAAAGTTTACCTTCCCGTGCTTTTAAATGAATAAACAATTGAGATTAGCGCTCACCGGCGTGGGAGGGAGGGAGGGGGGGAGGGGGGTACTCCCATTTAAAAAGGACGGGGGCGCCCGTCCGAAATTTTGAAAAGAACACCTAAGAGGTACCAAGATCCTGTTTTGTGGGCGTGGCTTTGAAAATTTTTCTCCCCTAAGAGGCACCAATTCTTACATAATACATTAACTCATGTCAATATTTTTTTTGACTCAAAACCCTTAAAGCTACCACA